ATGATTTGTCTTAAGAATTTCTTTTTTTCTTCTTCAATTATTATCTAGATTTGATTTGATTTCATGCTTTTAGAAATTATAATATGAAACCATCGGTCTGACATCAAGACTGTCTAAAACTCATATAACATAAAACCATATAAATAACACTAGTTTTTGGTTATCATTGAAAAATATAAAAACCTAAAGCATTTTAACCGAATAAAAAAATAAATATTGATTAAGAATAGAAATAATATTTTAATAGATTAAAAAAAACTAACCTAAAACAAAACCGATATCCAGATTAAACAAACATAATATCTTTTTATCTTATGAAATAATGAAATTAATAATCTCATTCCACGCAAGACAGAGATTAATTACCATGTATAATAGTATATAATAGGGGAATCTTTAAAAATAAAAAAGCATAAAATATCTATTTTTTTAGAAGTTTAAAACCATAATTATCCCATTTCTTTGTTATGGTTTGGTATTTTCTCTTGAATCTAGCTAAAGAAAAGAAGATAAAATAGAATATAAAAATACAATCTGAAAAAACAATAACAGATCAAGAAGATAAATTGCAAAGATAAAAAGGAGAAAAGGTACATGTCAAAGCTTGTCCATGGTATTGAACACAACGAAAAAATAATTCAATTTTTTTCTCTTCCATAAATTTGTATTGGTCTTAATTATATGTATATTATAAAATATATACTAGATATACATATATATTGATACCCGGAGTAATAGTTTATTAATCTCTTTATTTAATAATATATTTTTTTATTGAGATATTCCACATGATTTTATCTTAATGTCTTAAAGTATGTTAAGCCACTCAAATAGTTTTGTTCGTGCAATGAGACATGCATTCAGAAAGTGTATCATAACAATTTAATATTTTCCGTGTGTTGTTACAGCAAAAAACATTTTTTTTTCTAGTACAATAAAGGGGACAAACGCAATTTATGTCGAAGTCTAAACCATCTCCATTTCCCATTGTATAAGAAAGATAAGATTAAAAATAAGAATATAATACTACTAGATGATAACCCGCGCGCATGCGCGGAGTGAAATTTTTATACTAATATTTATTTATTAAATGGTTTTTAACATTTTGCAATACTACAGTATTTATCGATTATAAAATGATGAATACAAATGTTGGTATCTTAAATTATCATAGGTCTGGACGTTTGAGACTTCGTCGGTTTTAGTTTGATTGAGACATATTTTCAGATTTTGGTATTATTCTCATAAATCCTATTTGAATTTTACTAATTATCGGATTGGATTCGATTTGATCTTTTCAATTCAGTTTGGATTGGATTGTAACCAATATCTGAAATTATCCCAAAAAATATTTTTTAAACATGAAAAGTTGACAAAAAATTCAAAATATTTAAACTATTAATNAATTTTACTAATTATCGGATTGGATTCGATTTGATCTTTTCAATTCAGTTTGGATTGGATTGTAACCAATATCTGAAATTATCCCAAAAAATATTTTTTAAACATGAAAAGTTGACAAAAAATTCAAAATATTTAAACTATTAATAAATCTAATTTAAAATTAGTTAAACTATCTAAACAAACTAAAAGATATTAAAAACAAATAAAACAAACTACAAAAATCTTTTGAATACTATAAGTTGTATCTACTAACCTCAAACCTTTTCACTGAAATTTTTAAATTAACATATTTATAATATTAATATCTACTAATGATACTTCATATTCGTACGATTTATGATAATTTGTATCTTGTTTGTAAAAAAAAACAAAGTTAAACCATTGATCATAAAATTTTCAATGAGAGATTTTACTATTTTTAGTTATTTATGGTCGTTTTAAAAATTAAAAATATAACCTATAAGAAAAAAAATTAATTTTTATTATATATTTAATGTGATTGTTTAATTTATTTTAATAATTTAAAATTAAACAAAAAAGAGAGAGGACACAAAAATATGTATTATTCATAATCATTAATTACATATATATGATAATCATATTAGGTAATTTCGTAGCTTTTATTTAAGCAAATAAAATTTATTATTTTATACCTAGCAGAGTTAGTCCCTTACAAAATGTCTATATATTATAGTCCTAAATGCAAGAAATTAAATGTTACATTATTTCATTCCTAGCAAAGTTGGTCCATCAAAAAATTAAGGCTGAGAAGCTCTATGAGCTTGACACGTAAGCATGCTATCCTAGGTTGTGCATTTATGAATGCTTCAGGATTAATAAACGTATATCAGGGATAGTTATAATTCTTAGAGACGTACAATACAGACTATATATAAAAATGTGTAAGAGAACTATTATTACCCTAGTATTTAAAATTGTTTCTAAATCAAATAAATTAATTATTTTAGATTAAAATTAGAATAATTAATTTTAATTTAATTCTTTAAAATAGAGTAAGTCATCTATATATTAAAAATATAATTAATAGTCTTAGAAAATATTTTATAATATCTTAAATAAAATATTTCTTGCCTCTTCTTATTTCTTCTTTTATTACTAAGATATTCATTAAAATTTCTGGATGATATATTTCAACTGGTTATGCATTCTGTGTATGTTTTACTAATTTTAGTCTTCCTATTTCTAAGTAATACTTTTAATATAAATATTAATTTTTATAAAAATAATAAATTTTTATAGATATATTTTATGCAAGTATGTATCTATTATCATTAATCACTTAGGTAGAAAATTAAATGAAAATCTAAACAATAAGAGAAAATAAGAAAAGAGAGACAAGAAAGAATTTTATTTAATATTATGAGATATTCTTTAAGAGTGTTAATTAAATTTTTTAATGTATAGATTACTTAATACTAGTGGTTTTTCTTGTTTTCATATTGTTTCTATTGTTAATATATATTTTTACCAGAATATTATTCCATAGTATTTTAGATAACTAAATATTGATCGATGATATGAAGATAAAGTTAATTAAATATAAAATAGTAACATACACTAATACAAAAAATTAAAACAATACTCTTTTGTAGATAGTTATTAAGTCATCATGCATGTAATTATCTTGTATCATTGATAAATATTTACGATAATTATTTAGTTATCTTCATATCCTCAATTAGGTCTGGGAGGTTTTGATCCCAACTCAAAACCCCAACCTTAACCCGAACTGAAAAACCAAAATCACATCCAAACTATTACACAAAAAAAAATCTGAATGGGACCCGGTAGATAATTTCAATATTTTATATTTTTATTTTGAAAAAAATACACATAGAAACTTGATAGTTCCATTTCATTTAACTCATGGTTATCAATTCATCATAAGAAACTGAACTTGGTTTGTTAAACAAAACCTCTAATTGAGCTGAGACCAAATGAATATCTATTGTAATATTAGCAAGATAAATGCTATAAATCCAGAAAAAAATATGAAACATATTTTGCTTATTTCAGTTGGCAAAACAAAGTTGTCACGAACATGTTTAAATGATCTAATATGCAATCTGAAACATTCTTTAAGTATATCATTTGGTAAAACATATAATTTCACAAAACCCCTTGCTCTTGTATTATCATTTTAGTTTCTTACATTGCTTTCTCTTGTTGTATTATCATTTTATTATATTTGTATGGGAAGTTGACTCGAATGACTCAAATTAGTTGAGAAAATACTAGAATAGGCCATCAAAGTCTAAAATTACTATAAAAAAAATTGGATCGAAAATACCCTTGTTTCCTGTTATGAACATAATTTCATATTACCAAACTGCCATTGTTATTTTTTTTAAAAAATCGCCGATGGTAGATTTATTAAACGTAAAATAAATCTATCGGATATAAGTCTGTCAAACAAAACTATTGTTAAATTTATATCTGTCGTTTATTTGGTGGCAGATTTTTCGGTCACGGCAGATGTTTTTAAGGACGGAAGATTTATAAGTCCGATTTAAGGTTGTTGACAGATTTATCTTTTTAGTCTGTCGAATGAAGTAACCGATTTTGTTGAGATCGTCAGTTTTTTTCAGAGTAGTTAGAGTTTTGAGATAGATATGCTAATGGGTAATAGACTTATATATTTATGACCAATTTTGTTAACCGATTTAAATTTGCGATAGATTTTTATATTCATTTGGTGGCAGATGTTAGTAATTGTAGTCTTTGACGGCATACTTATTGAAAAACAATTAATTACTAGCGTGGGACAGGCCGATTTTTTGTCCAAAATTCACATATATTTCGAGTTAAATTAAGTTGATTCCGGTTTAGATTAATTGAATTTGGTTTTAATTAATTTTGAAGTTTGGTTAAGATTTGTTTTCGGTTTAACTTAATTTAAACCAATTTTGAACCTAGAGATTTAGGTTAAGAGTCATGAAGGGCATGTTTTCCAATTTCAGTCTCAACTTCTTTGTCGTCTTCTTCCTCCCCTCTCTTTAAACAACACATGCTCCTCTCTTTCATGGTGATTTACATCTGCTTCTTCCATATTGAGTTAAGACCAAGTGTAATCCATCTCTTTTAATAATCCTCTTGAAACTTCACTGCTGTGTCCTCTCTCTACACTTCCTCCCCCGGATGAGGTCAAGCCTTGCGCCGACGAGTATTATAATATCAACAAACATATATATCAGTTACATTCATCCCTTACAATCTTTCTTTTACTTTCTTATTGACCAACATTAAGAAGATTTTTAATTTTTTTATACAAAAAAAATTGTAAGCATTTAGATAAATAGAATGTTTGTCCAAGCAGTCCTTTTGTATATATTTTGTTAATAGATTTATACACACTACAACAGTTTGATTTTCATAAATTCAAAAGTCTTAACAGTGGTTTTTGACCAACATAGTCTTCCATATAAGGAAGACCATTGTACAGAATTACAGAGATAACAAATTAGACATAAAAGGATCACAAACCATCAATGAGATATCCTACACGTCCTATGTTACACAACAAGAACGATCTCTGATTTGAGACGTAAGAGATGAAACATCAGATGGCTAGAGACTTAACGAAACCAAATGCAGGCGAAGAAGAGCGAATCATTAAACGTAACTACAGCAAGCTGATTTCTCAGTTGTAGTAGAAGACGATGAAGCAGTATCTTGCTTAGTGATCTTGAGGCTGTAAAGAAACAGTACATAATGTCGTTACTCAGATATACTGTCTGTATAAAGATAATATGAAGAGTGAGTTCAGTTTCTTACCTCTGCCTTTGTATCGGTTTCTGTCAATCTTTGTTTAATGTCTTTTGCGATAGAGAGGAAAACAGATTCCACATTGAGGTTTGTTTTTGCACTCTGCAACAATTTGTAATCACTATCACTACTCATCAAACATAAAGATCACAGACACATGTTATGTTTTTACTCACGTCTCAAAGAATTTGATTCCATACTCATCAGCTAAATCTTGGCCTTTTGCTGTTGGGATAGCCTGAGAAATAAGATCAAGAATCAGTATACTACTACAAGGTAATGAAAGCTAAGTATGCAAGTGAAGATTACTACTTACCCTTTTGTTTTCATCCATGTCAGCTTTGTTACCGACCAGTATTTTGTTGACGTTATCTGAGGCATGCTGCTCTTGGTCAAAAAGTAGTGAACATATTTTGCAGACCAAGTGTAATCCATCTCTCTCGATTTGTGAATTAGGGTTCTTGATTTGGGAATTAGGGATTTCAAATTGAAAATTAGGGTTTTTCTTCAATCACTCGATCTATGCTAACAAGAGATGAAATGGAGGAATGAGATACCTTACAAGATTCTTTCTCGGCTGTGAGACGACACCAGTTGACGATGACAGAGGTGGAGGACGGAGGTGAACTCAAGTTTTTCTTCCTCGGCTGTGAACTCGAATCTATGGTGAAGTAGAACTGTGAGACGACATGAGAGATGAGAGATGATTCGGAATCGAGTTTTATCACCCAGAAACAGATGAAGGAGTGAGAGATGAGAGATGAGTTGGAGATGAGAGATGTCAAAGAAGAAGCATGAACTCGATATGTTTGTTTTTTTATTTGTTTTTTTTTACTTTTTTATTTATTTAAAATCATTTGTCGAATGTGTGCTTTTGGTAATTTAGATGGTCCCTTGAGTCATTCTAGTTTTTACTATCTTATATGAGTTAATCTAGTATTTTCTCAATTAATTTGAGTCATTCTGAGTAATTTCTCTATTTGTATTGCATAAATGTTTTGTTACTGTATGTCTTTCCAACATTTTTATTTTCCGTGCATTATGCCATATATATAAATTGCATCCAGATATGAATCTTCTGATGATGCTTATAGAACGACAGGGACATTGTTTTTTCCAAACCATTTCTTTCACGAGAGTGACAAGCTCACTCTCTCTTTATGCTCTCTTGTGAGTGACAGGCATACACTCTCTGTATGCTCTCTTATTTGTTTTTTATGAGAAGAGAGAATACTTTAGTTTCTACATTCTTAACATTTTACTCATTACCTTCAAACATACAAACTTATACATTCATATAGTTGTTTTTTCTCTACCAACTCAACACACACATACTTAGACTTGTACACTTTAACTACTACAACTCGGCCTTTACTTCTACTAACCAAGAACAAACTATCATCACTAGTCTTTTCAGGACGAAGTTTGGCACAAACAGAAGTAAAACTTTGTTGTGATAACTTATTAGAAGATAAAACAATTTCCTTATTATTATTTAGTTCAAAGTGTCTGTTTCTGAAAAGAGGACTAAGTTTTATATACCTGGAGATGTGTAGCTGTGGATTCCAACGGCCACACCAACTCTAGAATGTCTTTTGATATAACATCAACAAAGCTTTTAGCGTAATTAATTCATTCAAAAGTCTTTCTGATATAAGTGAGTCTTCTTTGATCTAAGTGTAACTGAATTTTTATTGGAATTGAACCTTTCATTAAACAACATACAAAGAGAAAGAGTAGAAGAATCAAGTGGAAACAAAGAAACTTGCCACACAAGAAAAATAAATAAGTGACCAAGGAGATTCACATGGAAGAAGAAAGTCAAACTGGGAGAAGATGCTAACAGTGAGTGTGTCATTCCTAAGATCCTGCACACAGTTCCGATACATAATTTACGTGTAGAAAAATAGAAAACCATCTAAGCGTTAATAAAGAAGAAAGGGAAATAAACTAAAACAATGCACTCTGATCTTCATGAATCATTTGCTTTCTGATTTCGGGCTCTTGTGATTCTAAATCAGATTTGATTGGTGCCAACTAAGCAAGTGCAAGCTTGCAAATGTATTCTTCAGACCATGCTTGCAAAAAGCATACCAAATACAGCCGCATTATTAACCTTTGCATTCTATTACAACATTCTCCACTGAGACAGTATATAAAAATGTTGTTAAAAAAAGAGACCAAAAACTACCGTTGAACAACTTTGACATATTTGTCATTAGATTTTTTCTTTAGTTTGGTCAAAACCATGTAAGCCTCTAAATCCTTTCAGTACAAAAGGAGACGAAAACAATGCAAGATAGAATTACGCCATTACATCCATTGGCAATACAGTAAAACAATAGACCAAACCCCCCAAGAAGCAGTAGCAATGTGAACATGAACACATTACCATCACCTGAAAGTTTTTAGCAGCTCAAAGATAGGGTTCTTACATGAGGAGCTTTTCTTACCTAAATTAGAATCCAAAGAGGAAAAGGTAGCTACGCTTTTTAATCTAAGCTTCTGAAGCATTAATTTTGATGGCAAAGAACTCAAAACACATTACACTCACAGTTTGCAGTTAAACTAACATAAGGTAAAATGGTAAAGTGTCTAACACCTTTATAGATGTAAGAACAATTCAATGAAATATATATTCTCAAAAGTGCATGAAAATAAGAGTGGATAAGATAGGGGTTCATGAGACTCATAATTTGCACGTAGCAAATATTGTAGAAACACTTATCTTTTAAGGTGCCATCGAAATATATATATATATAGTAACTTATTTGTAAATGTAAGCGACACTGAATTTCAAAAACTTATCTTGGGATAGATGATGATGATGATGATGATGATGATGATGATGATGATGATGATGATGATGATGATGATGATGATGTCCAACGGAAGTACATATTAACTTCATAGACTTTTGAAATAAAGGAACTCTATAGTATGTAATCGGATAACCATCATAAACTATTTTTACATAAATAGCCATTAATTAACTAAGTATTTTGAAATCAGAAAGGAGAACCAAAATCAGTAAACCATTCATATTTAAGGTAGACATGCGTATCAGACTGAAGCTTCCAAGAGTGAACGACTTCATCCAATGCACTGAAGAATATACATAAACCAAACTAAAGAGAGGAAAAGAGGAAGATTAAGCACATGAGTAAATTTTATAATAGATGAGCTGACTTTTTCCATTGTATTTCTTCTTATGCATATAGTACCATTTTCTTAGTAAAGAATCCAGACAAAACTTCAATCTACAGCTGTGTGACCGAGTTTCATCAACATGACTGGCAATAAATACAATAGCTCACATATTGTGTTCAGTATTTGGGAAAGAAATAAATATTAGTAACGTGAGAAGCTGGAGCACCTTGAAGCAAATAGATGACGGTTTGATAGAGAAAGAGCAAGACTTCTCATTATTTTTGTGTGCCCACTTGGTATCATAGATATGGTACAATTTTCAATTGTGGCACACAAAGAGGTTTTACCTGCAATCACTATCAACACATCATGGCCATGAATCTCTTTTAAAAAAAGAACCAAAAAAGGAGCAATAGCTTTGCTGATATATGGCAAAGCGCCGGGATTTTTATGCTGTGCTTTTCCAGAAATTCTGAATCTCCTTCACCATACCTTGTGGAAAAAAGATAATAATAATAAAGACTGAAACTTTTTTAAACATCTGATTCCAATTATGACAAGAAAGAATATATATGGAGACTACTCAATGCCAATATACCGACACAACCTAATTGTGAGGTGGTGACGTCTTTCTCCGGTGAATGTGTTCCCGTGTTTCCGGTATGAAACCATGTTTTGGCCTCTAAAACCTCCTTTATGAAACGAACGGAGAGAAAGATAAATCTGTTCATCTTCGGTCGCTAAACTCTGTGTTCACTGGATGTAGAGGAGATCGACGATATCATAACATTATAAAAATATATTATAAAAATATATTATAAAATAAAGATATTAGTCAACTATATTTTTGGATATCATAACATTTATATCTACCTAAATCTACTTACATATGATAACAAACTTATGTAATAGGAAATAAAGAGAATGATATTTGTCGTAATTATGTATTTTGTTCTATACCATTAATGACAAGCTTCAACATGCACCTTTTCTCTCCTTGTCATTTCAATTTATCTCTGTGATTTATTCTTCTTGATCTTATGTGTTAAATCACCAACACAAATGCTGTTTCATGTTGGTAATCTGTTGAATTGAGATGCGACAAAGGGTAAGGTGGAGTCATAGCAAACGACTTGTGGTAAAAATCCCGGAAGTTGCGCAAACCACCAAACGAGAAGACCGATAAGGCTGCAGTTGAACAAATTCCCCAATTATTTTTTATTATCGTTTATTTCTCAATCATTGAGGTTTTTTTTTGTAATAATTTTTCTCTTTCCAGAATCGTAATTCCAAAGGTGAAAATGAAAATTTTGGTATGCATAGAAAAACAATTGTGAGAAAGTGTTGGTATATAAATATGATGGATATAATTTCTTGTCTTGTTGCCATCTTCATTCATGATTAAACATTTTTTGTTCTATGTGTATGTGTGGAACTACGAGAAAAATGAAAAAAAATGATAGTATATAATAGGGGAAGCTTTGAAAAAAAATAGAAAAAGCTAAAATATCTATTTTTTATTGAGAAGTTATAAACCATAATTATCCCTTTATTTGTCATGGTTTGGTATTTTCTTTTGAATCTAGCTAAAGAAAGCAAGATAAAATAGAATATAAAAAATACACTCTGAAAAATAGATAACATATCAAAAAGATAAATTGCAAAAATAAAAAGAGAAAAGGTACATGTCAAAGCTTGTCGACAGTATTGAATACAATGACAAAATCATTCAATTTTTTTCTTTCATAAATTTGTATTGATTTTAATCATATGTACTAGATTTTGACCCGCGCTTTTCAAGCGCGAAATTTTTTTATGATTAAAAATTTATGCAATTGAGTTTTATCTTAATTTAAAGAATGTTTTGAGATAAAATCAGTTTACCAAAATTTGTGGTGATGATTGTTATTCATTAGTTTTTAGTTTCAGTTTTTATTTTTAGATTTTGTTTTAGATTTTGGTTTTTACTTTTTAAGTTTCTTTTTTTTATTTTCAGCTTTTGGTTTGGGTTTTTAATTTTTAGACCCGCTGAGTTAGTTTGAACAGATATTACTAACAAAAAAATCCAAAATAATCGAACATCTAATTTAAAACTGAAAAGATGACAAAAAAATTTTTAAAGAAATTTGTAATAGTTTATTTTGTAAAGAAATAAAAGCAAAAAAAATATAACATGTTTTTTCA